GCGAGCGTGCCGTCGGAGATTCAACTTTGGCGCTGCGTGCGGCCTGCTGCTGACTTCTTGGCTGGGAAAGCGGCCTGAACCGCTTTTCTCACGTATTAGTCGCATTGTTGCACGTGATCCGAGGCTGCAACGTAAAACTCGATGGGCGGACGTTGTGCAAGACGAGAGCATAACGCCTTCTGCGCTTGTACATCAGCAAGTGTGCCCGGATCATGTGGTATCTTGTGCCTTCTGGCCGGCGGTGCGGTCGAATGTTGTCCATGGAAATTTAGATGCCCCCCCCGCACTGATCTTTTTGGGTGACCGCAAGGTCGATGGCGTCATCAACCCCTTGCGAATTGACCCAGACTGCCTCCGATACACATATATAACTAGTCGGTGCGTCTCCCCAACGATTTGGCTCCCAGATGCTTTCAAGTGCCCGAGGATTTAAAGAAGGGGGGATGGAAGGTGGAAGGCGCCCACTGGTCAATTTCCTGAAGGTGGTAAGCATGAAAACACTCTCCAGCTTTATTGTGATGGCCCGCTGCGACATCACCTATGGCAGTCGAATGCACAGAGCCCACACTGGCGTTAGCATCGAGGCATGAGATAAGCATATCCGCGTCCCCCCGTGCTGTGCGCAGGAGTGTGCTTGTGGTAGTCCACCAAGTGCGTAAGTTAGCATGCGTGCGTGAAGTACTCGCTTGGAGCGTGTGAAACCAATATATCGCATGCAATGTGCGGCGCACGAGCAGCTAAACTGCGACGCGTAGGCTCTTGGTGTAGTACACGGCGCGTGTGCGGTGATATCCTTAGATGTTGGGCGCATTCGGTCTGTGTGTTGACCCAGAGTGTGCACCCCTCCCGTCCTTGCGGCGTCGTTGCAGTCATAATCACGGGGTAGGGGCCAACCTTGGCGACCTTAGAAACGGGTAGCCTCTCTCCGTCGTGCCATCCAGTAGGTAGCCCCCGCGAGCAAGCTTGGCGTCGAGCTGCTTGATCCTGCCCGTCGGAGGACCTTGGTAATGCTGAACGGTATGCCTGCAGCACGCGAGGCTTGAGGGTCCACGGTGAGGACGTCGGCAGAAGCAACCCACATGGAGACCTGCGTAGGGGTATTCTTGAGAGCTACAGGGGCCTCAGGGATGCACTCCTGACGAGAAATGCGCGTAGGAGATGGAGGAGGGAGCTTGATGCCGTAGGCGGGTGGGTAAGCAGCTCGCTCGTCGATTGGTAAGGCCTCCAGCCATACCCATGGCAAAGTTGCACGTTGCCACGAAAAGTCCAGCATAGCCCTCCAGTCTCCTTGTGATGTGTCCGCGTCTGTGCCGTATTACGCGAGACGCGCCACCGCATCGACCAATTCGCTACAAGCGTGTAAGTAGTGTCCAGGTACGTTTTCACATGCAAACGTGTGTCGAGTGCGCGCGGGTAGTTGCACGATGTTGTCACGCAACACTTTGGAGTCAAGTAGTACATCCGTAACCCCACTCAACTGAACAGCCCTAATACCATCAGAGTTGTCGCTGTGAAAAACGCACGTCGCACTGTGTGTAATTCGGTTCCGAAGCAAGCCACTTGGCAACCCATATGCCCGCTGCAAACTCAGCACACGCAGAATGATAGATATCTGGAACAGTCAGCTTGGCGCCCACCAGAGGTCCAGCTTGGAATCCCAGGAACCATGAAGAGTCCCTCGCTTGCCAGTGCAAAGAAGCCCCAAGCGGTGGTGATGGAACTAGGGAGTCGGGGACTTTAAAGCCGCCAGCGGTTCCGTCGGCGAATATGTCGAGCCGCGTTGGGCCCCCAGCGGAGACAAGGTCGGAGAGATTCGCCAGACCCTGAACTGTGGACGAATGCCAAAATCAAGCAAAAGATGAGGTGTCAACACAGAGGCCCTTGCCCCAGGGTGTGGTAAGTAGGTGAAATGTTGGGCGCACGTTCGGCAACGTACTCGTGGCCACTCCTTTGACACTGGATCTCAGGGGCTCCGTGAGTGGGTGGCGCTGTGCCATCGTCCACTGAGGGTGTCTTCGATAGGTCCCAGGAAGATGCCATAGAGAAGCCCTTGGGCGAATTGGTAATTGAACTCGAAGAGGATTCAGCCATAGATGGAGCCCCTGCGGGCGAGTTGGTTAGCGAAAAAGCTGGGTGGCGTCCGGGGCTGAATCCTCATCCTCATCCGCCTCCGAAGGGCGATCGTCGGTCTCCGCGGCGATAACGGGCGGCGCGTGCCGCTCTGGTCTCGCCCTGCTTAAGGAATGGATGCAGTCTTCTCGACTTCCTTGCCAGAGTTGGTCTCCCCGTGGCCGGCCGGCGCGGCGCCCCGTCTCCATGCTCTTACGGGCGGCGGGAGGCGCCCTGCAGCCCAGGCCTCGATGACCTCTACCGCCATCAGTTTCACCAAGGCGTAGGTGGCCTGCATCTGCATCTGCACGTGCTGTTACGGGACGTGAAAACGACCACAGCCACTGCTTTTCTTCTGTTGCCGCCTTCCAGCCAGCAGAAGCAAAGCAGTGGCTGTGGTCATTTTCGTTAAGCTTGGCACCAGGGAAATGACCACAACCACTGCTTCTTTTTCGGCCGGCTGGAAGGCGGCGCAAACAAGAAGCAGTGGCTGTCCCGTCCCGCAGCTGTTGCGAGCAACGATCCTGCTGGGGCTGCTGGGGAAAGGTCTCCCCCTGGGGCTGCCGCTGCTGGTGCGGCTGCCCCTTGTGGTGCTGGACCACCGCCACTGGCCCCTCCTGCGGCCTGCAGCTGAGCTGCGTCCTGCGCGGGCGCTGCAGGGGGGTAAACTCGGGGGAGGGCCCTGCGCCAGCAGCGCCCGCTGTAGGCGCGCCAGCTGCCGCGTTTGTCTGGAGGCCGAGCTGCGCTCACCCCGTCTGGATGGCCAGGTCGAGGAGCTGCTGCTGCTTCGTGGCGTTGTTGACTTGGGGCGCCGCGATGTGCGCTGGGCCGTTGAACATTGGCGAGTCGGCTTGGGACTGTTCACGTCGACGTGCTCCTGGTGTGCTGACTTTTGGGGCCATTGTCACTGGCTCCTCGTCTTCTTCCATGCTGATGGCGTGCACCTCATCATCCTCATCGCCGTTCTCCTCTGCCTTGACCTTGCCAGCCTGCGCGAGGGACTCGAAGTGCTCGAGCAGGAGCTCTGCCTTCTTGGGGCCGTCTTGTACGTGTTGTTGCTGAAGCTGACATTGGGCCAAGTAGTCGCGAGCCTCTGATTCAACACGTTTAGCTTCCTCAACTTTCTTCTTCACGCGCTCGACGTACTGCGACCCTCGCATCGGGCGGCCGTGCGTACGTGACTCGGTACAGCGTGACAGCGAAGTCCTGTTCGAGTTCTTGGATGCGGGACTTTTTGTGACCTAGGTTGTAGGCGACCTTGATTCGACGCTCAGAAGCATCGAGCCGTTCCTTGAGCTTCAGTCTGTGAGCTGGCAGCTCTGACTGCTTTGACGGCCTGGGGATCCACAGGTGATGTGACTCAGCTGTCCCTGGGATGCACGGGGCCGGTGGATATGCTGAGCGGCGTTCGATCCGCTCCCTGCGGCGCGCCTCGTCGCCCTCCAGGGGTGCTCGAGCGTGGCCGCATCTGCTCTGCCTGCTGAGCGGGGGTCTCATGCCACTCTGAGGACAGCCAACAGTCCTGCTGGTGTCTCCGTCTCGGCCGCGAAGGCGGTCGATGGTGGCGCCAAGGACGTGGCCAATCTTCGTCGGCACCCTGCGGCGCCTCGCGAAAACGGCACGTCTCGGACGTGACTACACATTGTTCATTTCTATGTCTTCAAAAGTTCTTTGCTTTTTGGGGGGCCAAGATCCTTTCATTTCTGATTGTTCTATCATGGCCTCTTCCTGGCCACTAGGGGGCCAGGAACAATTAGAAACGAGCGCAATTAGAAATGAGCACGATTAGAAATGAACGACGTGTACAGTCAACACGTATAGTAAGGATGGGCAACCTTCCCAAGGGTACCCTTGCATCCTTGCCTCCTCGATCCATCCTTCGCCGCTTTCGCTGGCCGCGCCCCGCTCGAAAAGCTTCGAAATGGGCGTCCAAGGCCCTTGCATCCTTATCCCGCATCCTTGCTATACTGGTTGACAGTAGGTCAGAACGGCTGCACGATGGACGCCCCCCCAAAGATCTCTCGCGCACCCCCGTGGCCCGAAGCCACTGCCGACCTGCGCCCGAGCCACGGGGCCTGCGCTGCTGGTGCTCTGCCAGCCGCCGGACCACTGCCGCCGCACGCAAGTTAGAGCTTGAGCACCCGCACGCCTGCATCAGGGCTGGACCTAAACTCGGAAACTGGAGCATATACAGTACCAGTGGCTGGTTGGTTTTCAATCCCAGGACTTTTTTGAGGGTCGGGGACGACGTCGGGATGGTGTGGTGTATACTTTTTTCCCCAGTCCCCCAGGGAAACAACGAAGAATGTTTTCACCAGAATCCCGTATACACCAGGATCCACTTTTTTGTGCGAACTTCAGTGCGGGGCCGTAGAAAACGTCGGTGTACAGAGTCCAGTCCCTTAATCAGGGCTGGACCTAAACGGTGTTTGGGCTATTTCGTGGGCCGTTTTCGTCTCGACTTCGTCTTGCTGTGAAGGCGGACTGAAGACGAGACGAGGGACACCGAAAGCAGAATGAAGACGGAAAACACCGTTCAGGTTCAGCCCCGGCTTGGATCGCCTGCGGCGGCGCCAAGCCCTCTCCCGCCTGGAAAGCGTGGCCGCCCGATGGCCCCGCGCCTGGGCGGGGCGGAAGCGACTCTGCGGGAAGTGCTGGGCGACGCCTTTGGGGGCCAGAAGCCGGCAGGCGCGCCCCCGCGGGTTTCACCCAGCGCCCGCGCCAGACACGGCCTTGGATCAGAGGCGGCGATGGGGGCGAATAGCCCAGGGGAGAGCAATACGTGCACGAACCATGTACGTTTCAGCGAGCGAAGAACGGTATAACATAAGCTTTTTCGCTGTCGGGGGCGCCTGTCCCTGGGCGGCTGGAAAGTGCCGCCTTGCAAACAGGTGTCGACGTGTCCATAGAGCCCTGCGAGAACGCGGTGCGTGAAGGCGACGGCCGGGACGTGTGGCACTTCGATTCCAAGGATGGCGATTCGATTCCAGGGGGGGAGGGGGAGGTAACCAGGGATGAGTCGGAGGCGGAGGAGGGGACGGAGAGGAGGACTACGTGTGGGAGAAGGATGAGCATTAGGAGCGGCTGGGGAATGAGGATTGAGAAGAGTGGGAGGAGGAGGAAGAAGAGGTAAGGAGAGGGTGAAGGATGAGAAGGTGGACGTGTGGAGGAGGGGTCGAAGAGATTAATGAGGACTAATGCGCAGACGTTGGCGAGAGCGATGGGGAGTAGGTACGGGGCAAACGTGGGAAAAGGGGAGGAGGCAAGGAGGACGAGGGCGGGAGAAGGAGGGGACAGGTGAGGGATGAGGTGAAGAGGGAGGTGACTCATGCTGAAGATGAGGAGGAACACGATAAGAAGGAAGGGAGGACGAGAGGGATGTGGAGAAGGAGGAGCCATTAACTACGAGGAAGAGGGTGGAAGGGAGGGGGAGGGGAAGGATATGGAGAGGGAGGGGCAGGGGAAGTATGGAGGTTGGAGGTGGAAGAAGGGCAGAGAATAATGAAGGAGGATGGAGGTGGGAGAGTGAAGAAGGATAATTTAAAAGAAGGATGACGCACATGGTTTTGCAGCTGTTGTTGGCGAGATTCTGGGGGAGCTGGCGGCCGCAGCCCCTGCGAACTTCAGGATTCCCTCAGCCATGGCTGCTCTCTGAGATGGTACTAGCGCGCAGGCGAACAGACTGCGCATATTTGCAACATTGGTCTACAACAGACTTAGTAGAGACAAGTATCTGTCCACCAAAGGATCTAGTCTCCAGATCGCCCCCAGACGAGCCTTGGGACTATCTGTGGTACATGCTGTAGCTTTGAATCCCGAACTACGACCCGAGGCATGTAAACAAAAGCATGCGAGGCGCCTGAGGCGTGCCCAGATATCCCGTGAGTTGGGGGTCCCGGGGCCTCTGCAAAATTCAATCCCAGGGACCCCTGAGCGACCTGAGGACATTCCACTCAGCGCCTGCGGCACGGTGGCGGACATTGGCGCCGTATACATTCAGACGAGTCCACGGGAAGGGGTGTACAACAAGACGCATGAACACTTGGGGCTCCCGTGTTTAGCTTATCGACTTCCGTTCTGTCTTGTACGGGCACTGGCGTTGAACGTGCCCAAGGCAGTTGCTAGCTGCTTTTGCAGAGTATGGTTCTCTCCGACTGATGCGACTGCTCCTCATCTTCATTCTCATCCGTTCCCCGTTTGTTTGTCCCTCCCCTCCTACCTGCCCGTCAGGCCCGTCCTTTACCTCCTTGTCGTCCTCCTAGTGTGTTCACTTTCTCTCTCTCTCTCTGTCTCTCCCTCTCTCTGTATTCATTATTTAGTTGTTCGTTGTTTTCTTTCCACGGGTAGTGAAGTACAAACAACTACCATCCGCAGGCAGGCTTTCGCAGGGCTGGTTGCTGGGCCTCTGGCGGGAAGGAGTGCGATAGCGAGAGATACCACAACTTCCATCAGGGGACGCTTCACGTTTCCATCATTGTAAATTGCGGGTCGCCCCAGCCGAAGAAGAGATCAGGGAGAAAGGGTTGATCGAGACTCCTTTAAATTGCAGCATGGCGCGAACTCAGAAGGGTACGCAGGGGCATGGGATCACCAGGGGCGCATTCACGACGAGATGGGCGGCAAGTGCATGACCTGGGACGAGGATGCGCCACGCTTGGGGGAGGCACGGGGTGAACATACTCGGGCAACCAGTGGAGAGAAGAGAAGAGGAAAAGGAGAATGAGGAGGAGGACGAGGAGAGGGAGGACGCACACGTCCTTTCCAGAGCCCGTGACATTGATTCAATGTCCGCCTCTGCGCAGATTTGAATGATCTAATCGGCGCCGTCACGGCTAAGTATGTGCCTGTGTCGTGTTTGACCCCAGGGTGTCGAAAAGTGTGTGTGTGTGTGTGTGTTTGTCTGATTGTTTCTGAGTGTGTGTGTATATATATATATTTGCGCGCGCGCGTGTGTGTGTGTGTGCTTGTGTGTGTGTGGCTCAAGGCTGCAAGCCACCTTGGCTCAAGCAATGTTCGCTCAAGGTGGTTGAGTCAAGCTGCACGGCTGCCGGCGGGCGCCGCCGCAATCCACGGCTCGAACGTGAGGTTGGGCGCACGGACGGCGGCGCGGCGGCACCGCCTGCGCCCGGCCTGCCCATGGGTTGGACGTGGGCTTGGTGCCTCTCCTCCTCCTCCTCCTCCTCCTCCTCCTCCTCCTCCTCCTCCTCCTCCTCCTCCCTCCTCCCCTCCCTCCTCCTCCTCCTCCTCCTCCTCCTCCTCCTCCCCCAGCGTGGCCGCGCGCCGGGCGAGTTGGGGCCAGCGGGGGGGCCTTCTTCGGGTGCTGGCCAGTTCAACTGGCCAGCACCCGAAGAAGGCCCAGTAGCCCCTACAGCAGGCACGGCGCGGGAGCCCAAGGCAGTACCGCGGCTGTCACCAGCGTGGCTGGTGCCTGCGCGGGCGGAATCGGGCGCGCCGCTGGCGGCCGCCGCGGCCGGCTCGCGGTCCGGCAGCGGAGCGGAGGAGCCAGAGCCCCAGCAGGGCGGCCTCCTGGGCGCAGCGCAGGCGAAGTGGAGCGACGGCTGGGCGCCGCCACGGAGGACGCATCGGCCTCTCCCCTCCAAGGTGTGCTTGAGCGGGCTGAGCGCGCGCGCGCGCTCGAGGACACCCGCTCGCCCCGAGGCCCGAGGCGGCGCCGGCGCCAGGCGTGGGCGCGGTCGCGGCAAGTTGCGGTGGGCGCGGGCGCAGCGGCCGCGAGCCCGGTGGCTTTCGGCGCAGAACATTCGGGGGCCCCCAAGACAGTGCGGTGACCACACCGTGCGGTGAGTCAGAGCGGATTCGGGGTCACCGCACGGCTTTGGGACTCGGGTCGCTCGCTCTCCGAAGAGCTCTCGGGCAACTGGGGCTTCCAGAGTCCCAAAACCATGCGGTGACGGACCGTGCGGTGAGGTCGTTTGCCAGTCCGAGGTCACCACACGGTCGGTCACCACATTGCCTTCGGGCCCCCAGAAACTGCGTGTGCGCTTGCTGGCTTTTTCATGGAGGCCGCGTCCGCCCCGCTCCTGCTTGCCGCGGAGCGCCACGGATAGCGGCCAAGGGCCGCTGGCGAAGCCCGCGGCGGGGGCGGCGCTGGCTGCCAGTGCGGCGCCGGCGGCGACTGCTAGCCACGCGGCGTCGCGGCCTGGCTGGCACCGGCGGGCGCGTGGCGAGCTCGCTGGCCGGCGGGGCGCTCGGGGCGCGGGCGCCCCCGCTGTTGGCGCGGCCCTCCCGGAGGGTCCAGCACGTGCTCCCCCCTCCCCCGGCCAGAGCCAAGGGCCACAGGCCAGAGGCCAGAGCCAAGGGCCACAGGCCACAGGCCAGGGGACAAGGGCCACAGGCCAGAGCCAAGGGCCAGAGGCAAGAGGCCAGAGCCAGAGGCCAGAGCCAGGGGCTGGCGCCAGAGCCGCAGGCCAGGGCCAGAGCCGGAAACCAGAAACCAGAACCAGAAGCCAGAAGTCAGAGCCGCCCCCTACCCCCTCCACGCGCACTCCTGTCGTTTGTCCGTCGTCCGCTGTTCGTCAGTCGCGTCGCGCCTTTCATGATATTTGCCATGGGGGTTTTGTTGATATTGAAGACAGTGCGCGCGTGCGTGTCTGTGCGCGCACGACATTCCTGGCCTTGTCCCCTCTTCACAAGCCCGCGCATGCAAAGGTGTTGCGTGCTTATCATCACTTTCCTCCTCCTCCTCCTCCGTAACCATTTTGGCTCAAGCCAGGGCCGCCGCGCGCCAGGGCCGCCCCCGCGCGCATGTGGCCTTCTCGGGGCTGAACGCCGCCTACGTCAGGCGGCTGCGGCTTGAGACGAAGCGCTTCCTTCGCAACTCCGAGGTTCAGTACTTCAGTACTTCTTCGAGATCTTCCTGCACCAGTGCTTCAATTGGTGCATGTGCAAACTCGACTTCCTGGTGCCCTACCCGCTCATCTGCAGCGATCTGGGGGCGCGCATCTCCGACTTTGCCAGGCATGGCGTCTGGTGCAGTGTCGACGTCACAGTGCTGGGGGACGCTGGGACCTCCTCCTTCGTCTCCGCCAGGCAACTGGGACGAGCCACCGGTCGCGGCCAAGGAGTTCAACAAGATGTCGAAGCTCGACGCGGCCACCCCCACCGCCGCTGCAGCCCGTCAAGAAGCTGAAGCGCCTGCGCGCAAAGACGCCCGGCCCAGCGACGCTGGACCAGGGCACCGAAACGAAAAAATAATGAGGAAAGCGGCATGAAGACCACGCCCACTGCCAAGAAGAGCAACAGAGGATGCTGAAGTACAAGATGCTCAGGGCGCTCTACATGAACGGCCTCTCCGAGACGGCCCCCCAGTCGCAGCGGTCGTCTTCGCAAGCTCCTCGAAGGTGACAGGGCCCAACAAGTTCGACGCGCTCGACGGCTCCTGCGGAGGCCTCTCCATCTACGGGATCGGCGGTCCTCGCGAGGATCGGCGGGACTCCTGCGGCGCTGTCGCCGCTGCCGCTGCCCATGTAGATGAAGAAGGAGAGGGGCCCACCACTTTCGGCAAGGCTTCGTTGAATGTCACGCCTGGCGCATCTTCGGTCTGACATCTCGAGGAGGGCAAGCCCAGGCGCCCGACGATCGCCATAGATGTTGGCGACAACGTTGAAGCCGAGACCTTTCATGATGCAGCTGTTCCGCGCGCGCGCGAGGGGCTCCAGGACTCCGCGGAGTCCGAAACTGGCCACGCCAAGGCCGACAAGTTCGGCGTTCCCAAGGGCGCTTTGCACATCATCTTCGACGTCTCCTTGGGCGCCTTGCCGAAGACCTCCGAGGGCAACCTCGCGCCGAACATCTGGGGGCCACTTCGAGCCCGACGGCGACTTCCTCCGCGCGCCGCCCCGCATCGACGGGCCCGAGGAGGACTACAGCAAGCCCAACCTCGACCGAGATGAGGCTTAGGTTGCCTCGACTTGCGACCCCCCCCCCTCGGCGAGGGCGGCGCCTGCGCGGGCCCCCCCGGGCTCGTTGGCTCCTGGGCGGACGGCGACCCCCATGGGCAGCTGCTCCCAGGGCAGCGGCTTGAAGTACAGGGGGCCGCCGCACACATGCGCGGAGGAGCAGCCGGCCTCGCCCGGGCCTTCCAGGTTGGCTGCGCTCCGCAGGTTGGGCTTCATCCAGTTATCGTGGAGAAGGTCGGCGCGATCTCCTCATTGGCATCTTCGGTCGGTCGGTGGCGGATTCATTTGCGCGCGGGTTTTGCTCATCTCGCCCCGCCTCGTGGCGACGGCGGATCGCGGCGCTGGGCCCTCGAAGGGCCCTGCCGCTCAAGCCGCCCCCCCCCTCCTCCTCCTCCTTCTCCTCCTCCTCCCCCTCCTCCTCCTCGCCCTCTGCCTCCTCCTCCTCCTCCTCCTCCTCAGTCCTCAGATGGCGATGAGGAGGCGCTGCCTTGTTCGCTCTGCGTGGCCGATGGCGCCTCGGTCTCCATGGCGCAAGCTCGCGGCCCGGCGGCCCATCTGCCCGGGCCGCCCGCCCCCCCCCCCCCCCCCCCGCGGCGCAGCGGCCTGTCTGCCGGGGCCGCCCGCGCCCGCGGGCGGGAGGGAGGGTGCGCGCCGACCAGCGACGCCGGCATGCGCTTCGCGGCCCCCCGAGCCCACTGCGGGGCCGAGAGAAAACGCCGCTGGAGGGCCCGCCTCAGAGGCGCGGGCGGGCGGGGCCCCAGAAATGCCGGCCCCGCATGGGGCCTTGAGCCCAGAGGGCCGCGGAAGAGGCGGCTGCGCGCGCGAGCAAGACCCTGCGTTGCATCCAGCGCCCAAGTCTCGCCCCCTTCGCTCCGCCTCGCGACGGCCGGCGGCGGATCGCGGCGCCAGGCCCTCGAAGGGCCTGGCCGCTCAGGCCGCCTCTTGTCCGCTTCCTCCTCTTTTGATGATGATGGTGATGAGGAGGCGCGTCCATTTTCATTCCACGTGGCCGATGGCGCCTCGGTTTCCGAGGCGCGAGCTCTCGGCCGGGCAGCCCGTCTGCCGGGGCCGCCTGCCCCCCCGCGCGCCCCGGCACTCGCTGCCACTCCGCGCGCGCCGCGAGCCGCGGGCCCACCTCGAGGGCCCTGCCCGTGCTGAAGTGGGGGCTTGGCCCTGCCGCTACCCAGCGCTCGGCGCTCTCGTCTGCCTGCTGCCACGGCGGGCGACCGTTCCTCAGCCCTGCGAGGCCCCCCCCTGCGCGTTAGCTTTTGGCCTGCGCGGCCGGGTGTTCTACCCTGCGCCTAGGGGCCCCATCCCGGCCGCCTAGGGGCCCCATCCCAGCCCTTTCCTCTTCGGACCATGGTCAGGTCCGCGCCTGCCGCGTCGCTGTTCCGGCGCCCCGTGTCTTTGAACGCCGCGCGCAGCGCGGGTGCTCCGTCAATCCGCAGGCCGTGGGAGCCGAAGCCGTTCAGGCCCACCCCCTCCGCCACGGCCGACTGCATCACCGCGCGCTGGACATCAGCTCGCGCCGCGAGCTTAGCGCGCCCCCGTCTCTGCGAACCCAGCGCGCGCGACCTGCCCTCGTAGATCGTCGACGCTTCCACGACATATATGTGCCCTGTCTCCATTAACTCCGCTGTGACTTTCGCCCTGAAGTGGTGGCGCCACTCCCCGCGATTGCAGTGGTCGGTCTTCATGGCCCCGATCTTGATGACGACCTCGTTCGCCTCGGGACAGTTCCTGCACGGCTCGTCCGCTGCCTTCGGGGCGACGTCAACGCCTCGCAGACCTTGGCCGCTCGCGCAGCCGTTCCGGCCCCCAGACGCGTATACTCGCTAGCCCTCAGCAGGGAGAAATAGCCCGTTGCCACCGCCGCCCAGAGAGCCGCGCCTTCGCGAAGCCTATCCGGCTGCGGCTTCCTCCGAATCCACCGCGCCATCCTGGGGGCGACCGGCTTCCTCCGCTCGGCGCCCCCGTCTCGCCTCCCACGGAGGCCATCGATCGCCATCTAGAGCCTCCCTGCCCCCGCCCGTCATGCCGCCCATGCCGAGGGCCAGGTGCCGGGCGCGTACCGCGCCCGGGTGCTGCTTGCAAGATTGCGCCCGCCTTCTCGCGCCCGCGCCTGGACAGGCGGGCGACAGACTCCAGCAGCAGCTCCTCCTCCTTCCTGTCGCTCGCGAGCGTGACCTCCCGCGGCGGGCTGACGCCGCGCGCGCGGCAAAAGTTGGGTTGCCACCTCCAGCCCAGGCCGCGCGACTGGATGGCGGAGCTAGCCAGCTTGTGCGCGTGGAAGGAGCACGCCCGGAAAGTGCGGGGGCCGCCCACTCTGGGGCGTCGCGCACATCCGAGATCGCCGCATACTCTGCCAGCAGGTAATTAGACTGGGCCCTGGCGGGCTGCGTCTCCGCAGCCCACAGGGCACTGGGCCAGCGTGCCCCCTTTCCCGCGGTAAGCGATCTCGCCCCCTTCGCAGATGTCAACTCCTGTGCTCCGACTCGGTCTCTGACTTGCGATCCATCCCTTCTGCCTTCCCGCCCCCCTTGCCGGGCCTTGGGTGCCTCTGGCGCCTCCTGGAGCAACGCCAGAGCAGACGCTCGACGTGCTTGCCAATACCCCTGCGCGTCCAAGCACGGCAGACCCGGCCGCCCATGCACGCGCGGCCTGCGGGCGTGAGTTTGGCCAGGTCCGACATGTTGATCTGGGCGTTGGCGCTGGCCACGCGCGACGAGCAGACGCGGGTCATGCCCCTCTCGCCCACCGACAGGGTGCGCGGGATGGCCGCGCAGAGGCGCGCCACTCCGATGCCCTGTTCGCCCCTGGTCCCCTGCCTCAAGGCCGTCCTTGAGGCAGCGGTGGGAGCTGCCCTTCACTTCCTTGAAGCGGCGGGCGCGCCCGCACCTGGTGAGGCGACTGCCTTTGAGAGGCCCCTGCCCCGAGCGTGCCACTAACCCGCCTGACCTTGCGATGGGGTCGTCGGGCAACATATTCTCGGAAAGCGCCCTCTTGCGCGGACCTCGTTCTTCGCGTTGGCCTCGTCCGCTGCCTCGACCTCTGGAGGGCCATGTCGGGATGAAGCTCAGGATGGGTTGTCCTCCAAGGCCACCTGGATGTCGCGCCCTGTCTTGCAACCGCCAGCAAAGCCCTTCAGAGCTTTCAAGACGAAGGAGGTGCATGCTAAACGCGTTCGAAGGAGCCAGGATGCGCAACCAACGACGGAGCCCAATACGGTGGCCACTGCGAGCGCCACGAGACCCATAGCAGACCACTGCAGCTTCGCCCAGTACCCACCGAACGGGTAGCTACCCATGGCGTCGACCGTTCCCATGAGGAAGTAGAGGAGCTGGTGCAGCACCGTGCCCGACGTGCGCTCCACCTTCTCGCCGAGCCATTCCAAGGCAAGGCCGCTTCGACCCCGACGTTGACCCGCACCATGCTGAATTGGACTCCTGGTGGTACCAGGCGCCATACTGCGCACCCTGCTCCGCTTGCCTTCCTCCGCGGTCATGCCCGGCGCGCCAGGGGGCTCGCCCGGGAGTGGCGGACGTGGGCTGGATCTCTGCGTCTCCCACCCGCCCGCGGTGGCGCCCTCCTCCTGCTCCGGATTTGCCCCAGCGGCCTCGCTGGGGGGGGGGGGCTGCGCGGGCGCTGCTGCTGGGAGGCGTCCGCGCAGTAGTAGTAGTAGTAGTAGTAGTAGTAGTAGTAGTAGTAGTAGTAGTAGTAGTAGTAGTAGTAGTAGTAGTAGTAGTAGTAGTAGTAGTAGTAGTAGTAGTAGTAGTAGTAGTAGTAGTAGTAGTAGTAGTAGTAGTAGTAGTAGTAGTA